CCTGAAGATGGGGAGCCAAGAAAGGGTGGAGGAATACATCAACCGAGCAACTGCAATTCGGGACAAGCTGGCAATGGCAGGAAAAATGGTGGATGAAGATTCATTCACCTTAAACCTGATCACCGAGCTACCGCCGCATTGAGAGGAGCTAAGGCATTCGGCAATGCTACACGACATCTCGAACAGCTACACACTACAACGAATGATGATTGAGGAACAACGCTACCAAGACCTCATTAGCAAAACCAACCGTGACAAACGTCCTCCCCGCATGGCTGGTCAAACACGTGGAGATACTTCACCAACAAAGGAGAGGACCGAGACAAAGGGCAACCAAAATGCGGCGAAGTCAACGGGAGGACAGCATGCGACGGTGGGAGACAAATCCAAAGGCAACGAAGGAAGGGGAGGGCGATCAAACCTTGTGTGTTGGTACTGCAAGGAATCTGGCCACCCGTTCTACAAGTGTCCTAAGGCGCCTCCGGGTTGGTCATCACTAGGTTGGGAGCCACAAAACAGAGGGAGGACAAACCAACGCACCTGGAGTAGCTGTTCGACCTCGCCTCGAAGGAGTGAAAGCCCGAAACGTGACACCCAAGTGTCAAAACAGCAAGGGGCAACCGGTGGAGACAACAAACGAACCGTTACATGCATTGCAACGGTTCGATCGTCACAAGCAACATTACCGTCAACCAGAGGGTCGATGTGGTTGCTGGACAGCGGATGCAGCCAACACATGACTTCAGAAAAGGATTGGTTTGAGGGTCTGGAGAAGCTGAACGAACCTGTTTACGTGGAGCTTGCTGACGGAAGCCACCTGTTGAGCTCGATGACGGGAACAATCCGAGCAACGGCACCAGATGGAACAACTGTGCGCTACACGGACGTGCTCTACGTACCCGGCTTGAAGTCCAACCTGCTGTCCTATTGCCAACTGTACAAGAAGGGAGCTCGAATTCACACACATGAGGATGGGCACACGGAGATCACAATGACGGATGGAGATGAGCATGTGCTCATTGGAGTTGGAATGGACATCCATGGGGTGTTAATGGTGCAATATGAGCCTGCACTTGCATCCGCCCATGAATCTGGTCATGATCATCCGAATGACGGATTGAATGCGACTGATCCTGGAGGGCTGAATGTGCAATCTGCTCATGCATCCATCACATATCGCACAGCCCACAAGCGCTTGGGTCACCTATCATACTCATCCATGGACGCAACATTTCGCAATGGAGATGTTGAAGGACTCTCCATATCCGACAAGACAAACCCCCTCAAACCCCCATGTGACTCATGCCTTCGAGGTAAGATGAGCAAGGCCCCATTTCCCACAGGTGGCGACAAGCGCACAACTCGACATTTGGAGCTCGTGCATAGCGACATCATGGACTTGGGTGACGCTCACCCCTCACTCCGCTACGTGCTGACGCTCAAGGACGACTACACCAACTACCTATGGGTGGCGCCGTTGGCTCGCCGATCCGACATGGCAGCTGTTTTCTCGGCTTGGCATCACGAAATGATGACCAAGTTGCCCACGAAGCCGCTGGCTGCCTTACGCACGGACAACGGGGGGGAGTATACCGCAAATGCTTTCACGGATTACCTAAGCTCTCATGGCATCAGTAACCAAACGTCCCTACCACACACACCGTAGCAGAATGGAGTCGCCGAACGGGTCAACCGCACGGTCATGGACCGAGTGCGTGCAATGACCACCGGAGCCAACCTTTCTTCTAAGTTCTGGCCTTATGCGCTGGAGTACGCATCATGGTTACACAACCGCATCAGATGCAGCAGCAACCCGTCAGCACACTCACCGTACTTCATGATGACGGGAAGGGCAGCAGATGTTTCAATGGCAAGAACTTTTGGGTGCCTCTGCTACTATCTCCCTCCCCAAAGCAGCTTTGGGAAGTTTGAGCAAAGAGGAAGAGTTGGCATGTTCCTTGGACTCTCCAACGCTCGGAAGGCATGGATCGTGCGTGACTTGGCAAGCGATGTGGACACGGACACACGCTCAGCTCGATTCTTTGATGACCTCACGATTCAGGATGCTGAATCGGTGCTCGAGCGACATCGCACCTTTGAGGAAGTCTCACCACACATTGATGGTTGGACTTTTGGGGAAGAAAGCTTTGGGTCCAAGTTTGACTCATTTCCCGCAACCCCACCATCACCTACATCGCCTACGGATACCTCTGCCACACGAGGACAGGAAGCTGCCGCTAATCCAGAGGATGCACCCATTGACGACACAACCAATAAAGGAAAAATGGCTGCAACAAGTGACTTACCTCCAGCTGGCGTCTCTGTTCTTGAAGGTGCTGAAACCAACGGAGTGGAGAATGAGACACGTCATCTCTATGACTTTGCCTACACACCTGATGGGATCGAGCTGGCAGATCAGGACGCAACTCCACGGCGGGTTCACTTCAACCCAGTTGTGACTGTGCTTGGAGGAGGAAGACAAGGGACAGACAGCATGACAGGACTGGACGTGCTTTTCGGAAAACGACAAGCAGCACAAGCGCTCAACACCCTTCCCAACCTGCAACAACACGTGCTAGGATGTGCAGCGATAGGCGTCCCCATGGTGAACCTAACGTACAAAGAGCCTAAATCGCTCAAGGAGATGACAACAGACCAGTACGCACCTCTTTGGCAAGCCACTGTGGATGCAGAATTGGCCAAGTTTGACGAGCTGGATGCATACGAAGTGGTGGACAGAGCAGACGTACCTAAAGGAACGCCAGTGTTGACGGAAGGAGTCGTTTTAAGGGTGAAGCGAGATGAGCATGGACAGCCAACCCAGTTCAACGCGCTGGGTGGTTAAAGGATGCGGACAAACATGGGGAACATACGATGATACATATGCACCGATCAGCCAAGGCCCTACCTCACGCACGTTCGTGGCTGGTGCATTTGCTAGGAAGCGGAAAGTGGTGCAACTGGACATCTCCAATGCATTCTTGTACGCTCCAATCGACCGGGACGTGTATGTGAGGCCACTGGAACCACGGCACGACGGGGACAAAGTTTGGAAGCTCAAGCGCAGCGTGTATGGCCTGAAACAGGCACCACGCTTGTGGCATCAGCACTTACGGGGTGTCTTGTTGGAGCTGGACATGGTGCAATCCGAATCAGACCCCTCTCTGTTTATCTGGAAAAGAGACGGACAGGACACGGTGTGGCTACTCACTTACGTTGACGACATCCTCATCCAGTCTCATGACACAGAGGCATTGAAGCTGTGATTCAACACTTGAAGCAGCACTTTACCTTAACGGTCAGCGAGACCATGATTGTCATAGCAGATTGCTCTCGCGCAGCAGCAGGACGGGTCTCGGACAGCTGGGATAACTTTTGAGGCGCCATCTCAAAAGTCGTCTGACATGACAAGCCTGCAAGACAATTAAAGGGAGTGGGGAGAATGGTCAGAGCAAGTAATTACCAGAAAAAATGTGGAACATATGATGGTCACCTCAGAGGTTATGTACCCCTGCAATTTTGAAAGCCGTCACCCTGATACCGTTTGACATTTGGCCAAATATAATAAATAGAAAAGGACTTAACAGGAACAATATGCAACAAACAGGCGCTTTAGATGAAACTGTGCAAATCTATATAGCTACACGCACCCACAGGGAATGCATGGCTGTAGAACAAGGTACACACCTTTATAAGTATAGTTCTCGTCTGGTAGCCTGAACAGCTGTACCCGGACAGAGTTGCTGCAGCAAAGCCGCATCTGAACAGAGTTGCTGAGGTTTGCTTGGTTTGGCTGATCGGAAGCACTCGAGTCTGATGCCTGCTGCTGAATTGCACACCAGCCTGTGAGTCCAACATGCTCCAAGTTTTTCAGTCATCTTTGCTGGCTCGGAGTGACCTGAGACAGTGAATGGGATGTGTGGGTGAGAGCATGTGCTCATCAGACACATAGTACGGTGGTTTAAATAGGAGGCGGTTTAGTATAGCCAAGAAGCACGAATGATTTCTGACCATTGTTGTCTCTTGAGCTCATGCGAGACTCACCATCAGCAGGGTCCCTCTCCGGGCAATCATTTGCCGATGTGATTGAGTTGAGCACATGGTGACTGTAACACGCACAGGGCCAATGAGCCAATATTGTAGCCAGGCACCTCAAGGGAGTGCCACTGAAACGATACGCACGTTTGCAAAGAGACACGAACGTTTGGAGTCATATTAGAGATTTCTCATAAGTAACTCCAATAAGAGCATTCTCAAAAAGACAAGTACGTTTGGTCGGATGTTATGAGCTGGATGCAGCTCAAGATTGCATTCACAACGAAGCACATGAAAGGCGTGAATTGTCATCAGATGGCGCGGCATTGCACGGCATGGTATGGCAACTCGTAACGGCATACCTTCCCCTCCCTCGTGGTGCAGCCATTTGGTGTGCGGCGATGCATCGCATGCCGATACGGCCTGGGACGGACGGCAGACAGATGGAGGGATGGACGGATGCTCATGGCACCTGATAGCATGCAAAACGACAGCATCCCATCCCACTCACCTTCACATTGAGCCGGTCACGAACCTAATCAGCCACACCCATCTCATTGCATGCATTCTCCCATGAGCCGTTGGGATGGCATCAACCCAGTGAAACATTGACAATTCAGTCCTGCCATCACAGCCAAACACACTCACTTGGTGTGTTATCCCCATCAGCTGACAGGCATAAAGCCATGCGTGAGAGGGCATTCCCCAGCTTTAACGTTTTTTTAGTCAACTGAAAAGTCGCCGTATCAGCTGAGACGCATACACTCATGGTACAGAGAAAGAGCATCCACTAAGTCAAGCCCCAACCCTGCCAGTGCCAGCCCACCATTGGCAGGAGTGAGATTGAAACAGAGTCAATTCTGCCATCCACAACCGCACATTCCCATCTCACCTTGACTTCAGGTTCTCGGAACTGATACAAGCAAACAGACCCACCCCGCCATCACTTATGAGAATTCTCAAGCATGCGTGATATAAGCACACCCATCTCACTGGGTGCGTTTTCTCCCCTCAACCAACACCCAGTGAAACAGAGAAAATCCTGCCATCCAGAACCACACACTCCCATCCCACCTCACCATTTCTTTAGAGTGTTCTCCCCATCAGCTGCCACCCAGCCGCCACACACCCTCGCATGCTGCACCAATGCCTGCAGCCACGCCGCATCTCCATCCCCACCATTCCCCGCCAGCATCTGCTCCAATGCCTGCTTGACACGTTGCAGCACCTCCCATGCTGCCTGCATCGCCATAGCTGCCAGCATAGCCCCTTCCCATACCTCCAACCTCCCACCCCTGCTGCTACTTCTCCCTTTTCTTTCCTCTCCTGTGCAATGGCCCCCTCTTCTCCTTCAGATTCCCTCTCCTTCACCCCGACTGTCCACCCCGTCCCCTCACTCCCCTCCTCTCCCTCCTTCCAGATCTGAACCCCCATGGCAGTCAGGAGGGACAGCAGGGGTGCTGTAGCAGTGAGAGGCTTCGCATGTGTGCTGCTTCTGCTCCTGCTGTTGCTCCCTTGTTCGCTGCTGCTATGTGTACTGCTCCCATCACTGCCATTAGCAGAATCTGCCGCCGCAACAGCAGCAGCAGAAGAGTCACCACCACCACCAGCAGCAGCGACTGTACCGGAAGCAGCGATAGCAGCACCATTCCCACCTTGTGCGTTAGACATCGCTGCTGCATCCAAGAGTGTCTTGCGAAAGGGATTGCATCGTTTGTCGTTGAGTGGCAACGAGCGGGAGCGGAAAGGGAGCGAGCGCAGAACAGAGAGCAGAGAGGGGAGAGCGTCTAAACATGTGTCTAACGACTTCTGCTTGGCTGCTGCTGCTGCTGCTGCGGCTGCAGGTTTATAACTTGGAGAGCCAATAATGTCGCGACACGTCCCCTATACCCAGCAGCAGTCCACCCACGTGCCCAACCTCCAACCTCCTCTCCAACCTTCCATCCTTCCCTCCTTCTCTCCGCCTTTACCCCCTTCACCCCCCAGCTTCCCTCCCTCTTTCCCCTCTTTTCCCCCATCATTCACATCACACCCCTCTCCGATCCCAGTTTCCCCCCTCGCTGCTCTCCACTCCACAGAACCGGTCTGCCTCCACCCCATCACCACACCATCCCTCTCCCCTCCCTCCCCTCTTTTCTCCTCCCCTCTTTTCTCTCCCCCTCCCTCCCCTCTTTTCTCCTCCCCTCCCTGCCCTCTTTTCTCCTCCCCTCCCTCCCCTCTTTTCTCCTCCCCTCCCTCCCCTCTTTTCTCCTCCCCTCCCTCCCCTCTTTTCTCCTCCCCTCCCTGCCCTCTTTTCTCCTCCCCTCCCTGCCCTCTTTTCTCCTCCCCTCCCTCCCCTCTTTTCTCCTCCCCTCCCTGCCCTCCCTCCCTGCCCTCCCTCCCCTCTTTTCTCCTCCCCTCCTCCCCTCTTTTCTCCTCCCCTCTTTTCTCCTCCCCTCTTTTCTCCTCCCCTCCTCCCCTCTTTTCTCCTCCCCTCCTCCCCTCAATTCTCCTCCCCTCTTTTCTCCTCCACTCCACCCCTCTTTTCTCCTCCCCTCCTCCCCTCTTTTCTCCTCCCCTCCTCCCCTCTTTTCTCCTCCCCTCCTCCCCTCTTTTCTCCTCCCATCCTCCCCTCTTTTCTCCTCCCCTCTTTTCTCCTCCCCTCCTCCCCTCTTTTCTCCTCCCCTCCTCCCCTCAATTCTCCTCCCCTCTTTTCTCCTCCACTCCACCCCTCTTTTCTCCTCCCCTCCTCCCCTCTTTTCTCCTCCCCTCCTCCCCTCTTTTCTCCTCCCCTCCTCCCCTCTTTTCTCCTCCCATCCTCCCCTCTTTTCTCCTCCCCTCTTTTCTCCTCCCCTCTTTTCTCCTCCCCTCTTTTCTCCTCCCCTCTTTTCTCCTCCCCTCTTTTCTCCTCCCCTCTTTTCTCCTCCCCTCCCTCCTCTCTTTACTCTCTTCCCCTCCTCCCATCACTCCACTCTCTCCCTCACATCCCTCCCCTCCAACAGCCTCCTCTCATCCACACTAGAGCCAGGTCGAGCCCTTGCTGTCACCACTGCCACTGCCGCTGCTATAGCAGCCTCTGATTAGGAGGGGAGAGGGCTTGCGTGGTTGGGGAGGTGGGAAAAGGCGAAGAACAAAAAAAGAAACGGTCTGCAATTACCACTGGCTAACATGACCTAACCTGACCTAACATGACCTAACCTGATCCAGCACGACCTGGGCCTGTGACCATGACGATTTCCACCGTCACAAATCTTACCTTGGCAAGAAGGACTGCAGCTGCCTCGAGATGCTGCAGGGGAATGAGCCAAACCCCGACCCCACCTCATCCAACCCAACCCAACCCAGGCCATCCTAACCGGTTCCCACTGGAGCAGATTATAGCAAGGAAGGGAAGACTACAGCACCCCCCTCCAGCTCATGAAAGAGAATGCCGCAAATCCCAACGAGATCCAACCCGACCCAACCCCACCGTACCCACCCGACCCCACCCGACCCCACCCGACCCCATCCGAACCCAACCGACCCCACCCGACCAGACCCGACCCGGACCTGTGACCATGCCCCATGCCTCCTGAAGCGAACCTCAGCAAGGGAGGGGGACCCCACCGCAGCAGCCCCCTTGAGCTGCTGCACTGAAATCAGGCAAACCTCGGCCTCACTCACCCAACCCGACCCGACCCCACCACGCTCTACGACTATGCCCTTGCCAACTGAGGCGAACTTGAGCACGGGAGACTGGACCTATGACCATGCCCCAGCCCCTGCCCCATGCCTACTGAGGAGCGGAGCTTAGCAAGGGAGAGTGCAGCTGACTCCTCGAGCTGCTGCAGCGGCATGAGCGAGTGCGCATTGGCCTGGCGTGATGGGTCCTCGTACTGGTGGGATGTGGTGTGTGGTGGAGGGGGTTGAAGGAACGGGAGTGGGATGAGGGATTGACAAGAGGGCAAGGAGGGCACGGGAGGAGAAATGAAGGAGGGGGTCAGCTCTTGAAGGGGAGCAAGCAAGTGTGTTTTGGCCTGGCGGGATGGGTCTGCTTACTGGCGGAAAGTGAAGTGTGGAGTGTGTGTAGAGAGGGATGAGGGATTGGGAGTGATATGAGGGAAGGCGAGTTGAAATGTTAACTCATTGGGAAGAATGAAAGGGGGTCAACTAACTCATTCACAAAAATGAGCGAGGTGTTTAGAATAACAGAGATGAGTGGTCAGCTTTTGATGTCATCACAGCCCCAAGATAGTCTGCAGTGTGCACCGCACTGCACCAGATCACACTGCACTCCACTCACCTGCTTACATTGCTTCAGAGTGACCATGTCCCCCACCCACCCCCCTTCGCTGCTGCCGCCCCCTCTCCCACCTCAGCTGCTGCAGCATGGTGTGCACAGCATGTGCCTCTGACTGCCGTGCCTATGCTGCATTCTCCTCCTCCTGCTCTCACTACATGCCATGCCATGCCATGCCATGGTGTGACCATAACATGCACCATTACACGCCATTCCATGTGATGTTTAGGGTGGGGGGGTGTGGTACAGCGCATCCGATGCAGGGATTTGGGGTTTAGGGTTTAAGCTAAACTGGTGATATCAGCTGCTGTGCACAAGGTAGTGAAGAAGACGTGTGTGTGTTGTCTGTTCAGATGCACGCACAGCACAGTGAACCGTGAACGCATGACGAACATGCATGCATTGGATTGGAAAATGCCCTGAATCAACGAATGCTCACACACACACACACACACATACATACATACAGAAACGCTCATACATACATCCATATTTATTGACATCCATCCATCCATGCATACTGCATACCTGCAGTCCCCTTGCGAGCTCCTCGTCGTCCTGTCCTCTCTGCTGCTCTCCCCCTTTCCACTCGCCTTCCCGTCCTCCCCCGTCCGCCCCCTCCGCCCCCTCCGCCCCCTCCGCCCCTTCCGCCCCTTTCTCCCCTGTCTCCTTTCAGCCTCCGGGTCCCCTTGCGGCCCCCGTTCCCCCCTATCGTGCGTGCAGCACCAGCACTGCGCCAGTGGCCGGCAGGAGGGACGCCAAATCAGCACGGCGAGGAGAGGTCAAGGGAGGGGGCGGAGGAGAGGGAGAGCTGCAAGGGAGAATGGAAGGGCAGAAAGAACGAGTGAGAATGATATGAGGCGCATCAAGATTGCGTGGGCTTGTGGCGAGGAGAAGACATCGAGGGAGGGGCCAGAGGAGAGGGAGAGCTGCAAGGGCGCCGAGAGAAAGGCGGTAAGAAGAGATGAAACTCGGAACGAATGGCGCTTCTGATGTGACTCGCAAACAAACCGGCATGCGGCGAGGAGGATCAAGGAACGGTCCGGATGACGGGAGAGGTGCGAGTTGCCTTGCCTTCCTTACACGTACAAATCTCGCATACCCTTCGCCAAAGCTTATCGTTCTCTCTCTCATCTCATCAGTAGGAAAATGCGGCTCCAGCCCTCTCTCGCCTCTGTCCCTGTACCGACTGCCCTTGATCCACCATGTGGCATTGCGGCCTGTCTAAAGCTTTTGCTTTTTTCCCCCTTCATGGCCATCCTCGTCGTCGCATTCCTATCTCCCCCATCCTTCCTTTCCCGACCCATGCTTCTGCCGTCCCTACCCCTGCCGCCCTACTCCCGCCATCCCTCCTTCCCAAACCCCCGCATCGCCTCACCTCCACGCCCATTTCGACCTCCACTTCCATTTTGAACCGCTCCTCGCCGAACACCACCGTCACCCCTCACACCACCATCGCGGATAGCACAAACACCCGCCGCGCTGAACGGGCCGCGTGGCGCACCCTCATCTTCGGAGAGGCTTCGGATCTCGACTCGTGGGGCGCGAATGACCGCTGCCTGGGTGCGGCGAGCGACACAACGGAAGTGAAGCCACGTGGTTCAAGCTGATTCGAGTTAAATCCAACTTTGTGCAGTCTGAAACCCGCACTACTACTAAGTTCATTGCGAAACAACTTAGGCCACCAAAAATGTCCACATATGCTTTTCTTGCGAGAAAGCTTCGGGAAACCTAGCAGCGCGCGGGAACCACAAGTAACACGAATTCGCTTGACATACTTCCACTGCTTCTCATATCCAATTCACAGTCCCAGCGGGTCTCATTCGACGCGAATCAGGCGAGCCTGAAAGCGAAGCGTCGCCTAAATGGTGCACCAGCGGTGGTAAACGTCACCAGTAGCTTCGTTGACAGCCATTCCGAAAAACTTACCACCATCGTTATCATCAGGCCACGTGGGCCTTCACCTCGCTGTGTCTTCAGGTGAGTCTCTCGAATCAGTCTGTAACGCGCATCTTGAGTCCCGTCGTTCCAACTGCTGCCTCCCATCCCCTCCATGTCAGCTCAGGAAACACAAGACGGTGAAAACGCGGAAGAAAGGGATTCGAAGGTTCGGAAGCAGCAGGTCCAACCGACAGCAGGTGTGCGGTGGTGGTGGAGATAGTAGGAAGAGTAGCAACAGCCGCAGAGGGCGGATATGGTGCATTATCTGGACGTGACGGGAGGCTGGCTGGGGTGTGTGTGAGTGCGCGTGCTGCTTGGAGCACGCAGCGCAGTTTTCTACAGGGCTCAGTGCGGGGTTTACATCAGCAGCCTCAAGGACTTTCGGGATGAAATGTGCGAGCCCACATGGCCAGCAGATTGTTCGCATCACAGCAGTGTTGCTTCTTCTCTCACTGCTGCTTCTCGCACCGTTGCCTCTGATGTCACTGGAGCGCCTGTGACCAGCTCAGGCCTTGTGCCTGTCAACACCAACGCAGCCATTGCTGTTTTGACGTACCGAGTTGCTTGCATCTTGCGGTGGTCCGAGTCTACGGCTCAGATTTCATCTCGGCAAAGGATTGCTTCAAGGACAGCCCACAGGGCAAGGTTTGTCCCATGCACCATCTGCTTCGAGACCTTCCAGGCCTGCTGGTCAGGTTCGGCAACATCCCCGGACCTCTTCTGGGGCAGACTTTTTCCATGGAGTGGGAGGAATGGCCCCAGGGCGATGAAGCTGCTGTGAAGTTTCCTGATGGCTCAAGTGCAGAATGCTTTGGCCTAGGGATTCTGGAGGAGAGTGGGACGAAAGATGAGATCAGGCGAAGACCCTCTGGCCAGTCATTGAAGGCAGGAGGTAAGAGGAGGGATCGAAGGAAGCGAGGTCATGTTAGAGGAATCAAGGACCCTCTCAAACCGCCGTCGTCCCATTGTTCGTTGCGTGGATTACATTCTCGAGTTTGCTTTGCTGCTGGCCTGCCTGTCCCGCCAGCATGCACTGAGTGCAACACATGCCCACATCCCTTTCATCGCCTGTGTTGCCAACTTCGCCTATCGCCCCGCTTCTTTCCTCCTCGACTGTTTTCCTCGCCGTCGTCCCAGCGCACTCCAAAGGCTTCACCAATCTTGTCTGTATCTTGGGCATCACGCCCTTTCCCACGGGTTTCTCTCCACTGCCTGTCTGTACCAGAGCAGCTTCAGCTAGTACGACCACAGCACAGGTGGAACAGGTGCCAATCGCTCTGCTGATCGGTATTGCTATGCACTGGCCTGGGTTCATGCTTGGCCTTGGCAGGTTCGAGGATGGGAAGCGGAAATTTTCTGGGAAAGGCAGAGGGCAAAGGGGAAGGGTGGAAGAGATGGGTTGTGGGGTTGGTGGGGCTGGCGAGGATGATGCAGATGATTGGGGGTGTGGTGGAGAGGAGTGGAAGGAGGTTTGGTCGTATAAGGGGCATCGTATAGTTGGCTTGGCCGGTTTTTGTGTCAGGAGAAAGCCACGTGTATAAGGGGCAGCCAAAGCCGAAGCTTTGTGGTGACTGCCAAGGTGGTTCTGACAGTGGAAGCAAGAGCAGCAGTGGCAGCAGTGAACATCGCGCCAGCAGAAGCAGCAGCAAAAACAGCAACAGCAGCAGCAGCAAAAACAGCAATAGCAGCAGCAAAAACAGCAACAGCATCAGCAGCAAAAACAGCAATAGCAGCAGCAACAAATATTGCAGCAACATAAGCAGCAGCAGAAACTGTAACAACAGCAGTAGCAGCAAGAACAAGAGTGAGGAGGGAGAGGAAGTGGAGGTTTCGGCTTACTTGGAGCCATGGCCAGGGGGACCCATCTGGTGGCATGTTTGCGAGAGATGCTTCTGGGAGAGCCCTGCTACCTCCCTGCCTCTTTCTATGCTGCTTCCAGCAATCCTGCTGTGAGCACCACTGCTGCAGTGCCACACACAGTTGCTGCTGCTGCCGCTGCTGCCGCTGCTGCTGCTGCGGCAGCAAACTTTGCTGCCCCACCCGCTATTACTCCACCAGAATCTGCTGCTGAATTTGCTACAGCACCAAGCACAGCTGCTGCTGGAACAAGTGCTGCTGCCCCCAAACCACCGGTGCTTCTTTGAAGGCTACTGCTGCCTCTTCCACCCCTGCTGCCTCTCCCACCCACCCCTGTTGCCTCTCCCACCCCTGTTGCCTCTCCCACCCCTGTTGTCCCTTCTAACCCCTGTTGCCCCACCCATTGGTGCTTCACCAAACCATGCAAGTGCACCCGTTTCGGTTACAGTTGCCACTGGTCCTGCTGCGTGTGGTGAGCGTGTGTGTGGTGCTGTGGGGTGTGGGACGGTGGGGGTGGTGGTGTTGTGAAGCTGAGGATTTGCGGTGGGTGTGGCATGGTGGCGTATTGCAGCAGAGAGTGCCAAAAGGCGCACTGGCCATCCCACAAGCTCACATGCCCCGGCAGGACCAGCAGCCGGACTGGTGGCAGCAGCATTGGCAAGGTGAGTGGCAAGGTGCATGGCTAGGCGAGTGGCAAGGGGAGTGGCCAAGAGAGTGGGTGAGCAATGCAGGTATAAGGAAAGGTCGCCTGACTGGAGGCATCATATCCCGTTGTGATCGCAAGGCCTCGTTTATTGACTGGTGGCATCACAGGCCGGGCTTGTATCGCCATGCAGCAAAGAACGAGGGTATGTGAGGTTTTCCTTCATGAATTGCTGGGATGTTTGCTTCTGTACTTGCTGCTGTGCTTGCTGCTATGCGTGCTGCTGTGTTGCTGCTGTGTTGCTGCTGTGTTGCTGCTGTGTTGCTGCTGTGGTGCTGCTGTGTTGCTGCTGCGTTGCTGCTGTGTTGCTGTTGTGTTGCTGCTGTGTTGCTGCTGTGTTTCTCCTGTGGTGCTGCTGTGTTGCTGTTGTGTTGCTGCTGTGGTGCTGCTGTGTTGCTGCTGTGTTGCTGCTGTGGTGCTGCTGTGTTGCTGCTGTGTTGCTGCTGTGTTGCTGCTGTGTTGCCGCTGTGTTGCCGCTGCGTTCCTGCTGCCAGTCGTCCTCCTTGTGCGGCACTTCTAGGAATTCTTTGATGTGCCACAATAAAGGTGTGCGTGGATTTGATTTGCACAATGCTAGGGTTGGCATGTTTGCTGCAGAGTGTGCTGCTGTGCTTGCCGCCAGTCATCCTCCTTGTTGGCACTTGAAGGAATTCTCAACGTGCCCACAAGGAGGAGGGTGTGTATGGAGTTAGTTTGCAGATTGCTGGGTTGGCATGTTTGCTGCTGTGCTTGCTGCCAGTCATGCACGTGCAGCAGCAGTCATTGCGTTAGTCATCATACCATTTCTTTTGACTGAGCTTTGCTTCATGTGTTAAATGACTAAAATTCATCTCCTTGCGTTCATGTTTTTTTCCAGATTTATTCTCACTGCCCTTTTTTCCCATGCTCGCCCTTGCACCCATCCCCTCCCCCTTTTCTGCACAGGTGTACCGTAAGTACAAATGACATGTTGAGTGTGTAGCTTCTTATGCAAACTTGACATAGGTGCCTCGTTGTTTCATGCCTTATCCACTTGCGGGATGCATGCACGCATGGGGCTAGAAGTCAAAAGTGTCAAGCAAATATCATCATCCCCAGCAGCAGACCCTTCCCCCACCCACCCCCACAGTGAAAGTCCGAAGAATGAATGAGGCCCCAATGAAAAGCTCTTGATTGGAGGGTTTGGGTTCGTGTTCAGCATGCTGGCTGCCATTAGACCAGTGCAGAGCAAGTCAGCTCCACCCCGAGCCTTCTCACACCCCAGAGCACCACACACAGCCCCTCCCAAACGAGCAGAATTACAGTCTTTTGCAATGTTTTTTCTCTGCCGGACGGAGCCTTCAGGAGCTGATTTACCAGCAACTGTGCTGGTAGCAGGGGAGGAAGGGGCAGCAGGGGAGGCAGGGCAGTAGCACGGCTCCCCCAGCAGCATCTCTCGCAGACATGCCAGCAAATTGACTCCCCCTGGCCATGGCTTCAAATAAGCCAGCTCCTCCCCCTGCTTGCCCTTCCCATCGTCCCCCCTCGTCCATCGGTTTCCACTGTTACTGTCATTTCCGCGACTACAGCTGCTTCTTCCGAAGCTGTCGCTGGGACTGCTGCTCCCACTGGTACATCCAGAAACCCTTCTCTCACTTTCAATATCGTCACAGAACCTTGGTACGGCAGCCTTTTTCCACAGCTCATGCCACTTGTCACTCATAGTTTCCTCTCCCTCCGCTCCAAACCAACCGCCCCACTCCTTTTTTCCCTTGCACGTCCAACGCAATGCGGCGGCCCCCAGCTCCATGCCTCCCTGCCATGCAAGCTCCACCGCCAGGCACCACATCTGCACCTCTTCCCACACACTCCCGTCCTCTTCCTTTCTGTCTCGCAGCCTGTGTAGGTACGTCAGGTCAGTGGTTCCCAGGATGGGGGAGGCCCATTTGTGGGCCACGGCCAAGAGGAAGAGCACAGGATGAAGCTCTGCCTGAGTCTGCACCAGAGCCGACCTTAGAAAGCCAGGCACGCTGGCAGTGAAAGGCGGCACACCTATACGAGCAGCAAGCTGGCCGAATTCGGGAGAGAGAGGAGGGAAGATGGATACAAAGCGGTTGAAAAGGATGGTGGCAGGTCGGTAGGCGTAGTTGGCAATGAGCGCGAGGAAGGGGATGTTACGGCTGTAGACTGCAAGGCACTGCTTGCACTCAGCACATGCAGGTGGCTTCACCATATGCCCGGCAAATTCCAACAGGAATTCGGCATCAGCAGTGCAACGAACGATGGGGAATTTCCTCTGCACTAGCGGCAGCAGCCTTGTGAGCAGCTGCTGTAGCAGCCTCTCGTCTAAGTCACACCCCACTCCTCGAACTCTCGCTTCTTCCCCACGCCCTCTGCTCCTTCCCTCCTGCTTGCCCCTCCCTTTGTCTCCTCCTTTCCCCCTCGCGGTCCCAATCTTGCCTCCTGCATTTGACCTCTGTCCGCCCTTCTCTCCTGCCCCACGCTCCCCTGCTTTCCCCCTCGCTTCCTTCACAATCCGCAGGTGGAAGAATCTCGCGCTGGCGTCATCAGGAAGCTTCGCAGCAGCTTCCTCGTCCCGAGACCACTCTTCCCACTCCAAGGGAAACTCACCTTGGTCCAGAGGCTTGGGGATGGCGCCGAGCCTGACCAGCAAGCTCTGAAGGTCCCGAAGCGGGTCCCCCTCGCTTCCTTCCCCTGGGGGCTGTCCTTGCAGCATTGAATAGCAGGGACGATTTCGGACCCATAGGTGCGGGCCCACTGCAGAATGCAGGCAGCACGATACGTGAAGACAGCAACGACAGGGTTTGTGTTCACAGGAGTTGGGTTGACAGATGCCGCTGCCACTGCTGACGGTGATGCTGATGCTGGTGGTAGTGCTGATGCTCTTGTTCCCATACCTCTGCCTGCTGCCCCTCCTTCACCCCGTGCCATCCTGCTCAGCCTCTCCCTGGCCGTTTCAATGGCTGCATCCTCCACCCGTGCCTTGCTTGCAGTGTTGCCGTCTTGGAAGTAAAAGCCACTTTCCTTGCAGTACTCTGGCGTGGACAGCACAGCAGCAACGGAAAGAGCAAACTCGGTCGCACCCACGCCACTCACACACATGCCCTTGGGAAATGTCGTCGCGCCCACACTGCGGCTGCTGCCACTGCCACCAATGCTGCTGCTGCTGCTGCTGCTGCTGCTGCTGCTGCCCCCCTCACTGCAGTGGCTGCACCGGATCTCCCTCCCTTTTCCCGCTCCATGTTCCAGAATCCAAGCCATGCCATCCACATACCTCTCCCACTCATGCCCCTTCAGATGCTCCCTCCATTGCCCACCCTTCCCATCCCTACCATCCTGGCCACCACCGTCCATCCATGACCCTTCTTGATTCCCATCATGCTCCATCTGCCCTCCAACTCCTGTCCCCCCTCTCCCTTTCTTCTCTGCATGCGCCTTCTCCAGTCCACCAGACAGCAGATTCTGCACGAGAGCACCAAATCCTTCCTCCAGGTCTAAGGTTTCTTTCACCCCGAGGATCTGAGCCATCATGGAAGCGAAAATGTCCTTCTCCCTCTGCCTGCGTGCCCCTAGCGCAGTCACAATGGCTGGATAGGCCTTCGAAGTTGCGGCATGAGCCCTGCATAGAGTCACAACCCGCGGGCACCTCGCTACAAGCACGAGGGAGGCAGCGAAGCTGACGGCACGGCGGTAGGCAGCCCAGCAGCTGCTGCAGCGCCAGCAGCAGGGCCCCGCTAGAGAGGCTCCAACAGAGGAACCAGAAGCAGCAGCAGCAGCAGGGGAAGCCTTTTTAGTAGTAGGGACATCTGCGGCACTTAGAATAGTAGGCAGACGAGATCTGATCCTTCCCAGGTCCATGAGCATGCCCACACGAGGTTCAGCAATCCACTCGAGAACCATCGCTTCCACACACAGCAAAGGGGCTACATCACACTTGACTTGAAAATGCATAGGCGGCGCTTTTAGGTGCGCTGCTGCCTCTGGCAGAGGAACCTTCAACGAGAACTCATACATAGCCCGGGTCGGACGGTTGGGAGCGAGGGGGATGGACTCAGGCTGCTATTCTCGCAGGTAAAAACGGATTTTTTTTAGAGTCGTCATGTCGAGGGCGCGCTGTGTGCGCTGGCTCGCAGCTCGATTGAAGCAGCACTCGCACACAGCCAAGCCCCACGCTTCTCTCACGTCCAGGTAGTGAACCATGTCCGCCCGACACAGCAGCGGAAGCTTCTCTGCATGGTCCTCAGCTCTTGCCCTCTCTCGCCCCGCTCGTTTCCGCTCGTCCATCATCGGCTGATCTTGGGGTACCAATGTCAAGCGTTGAGGGTTTTGAAGTGTCAGCTCATCCCATAGTGTCGTACGACTTTTTGGTTCCGTCACGAATGCACGTATAAAATGCTCCATCTTGAGATTTCTCCGCCAGTGTGTACACGCGCGAACGCGAGGCTACAGCTAAGGGGTTGTCATTAGTATCGCACTGGGAACTGATGCACCCAGAACAAGTTGTCGTGCCGAAGTCTTCTGATAGAGGTTTATTCCACCACGCTTCCCTAAAGACCGCCTCCTTTGCCGCTTCAGAGACGAACGTTGGAATGGCGGCGACGCATGCGTGACGCTTCTCCGCTCTGATTAAGAAACAGGGTATCGTTGTATTTTTTAGCGTTTGCTAACGTCTGGCTTGGCTCAGGAGTTGTCCCGAATCAGTAGCATTGTAAGAGCGTGGTATGGGAAACGTTTTGAATCCGGCGAAGCTGTGAGTTTTAGCGCCGCTTTGCCAGCTCCATAGACGTGGAGAAGACTCTCTGAATCATGGCTGGAGGCTGAGCAACGAAGCTACAGCAAATGCGCGAAGAGTGAGTAGCGAGTAGTCAGCACTTAGGTGGTCTACAAGCAAGAAAGGTCAAATTGTAAAAGTTTGGTCAGCACGGCAATGAGGGGCTCCGCTTGGTCACTTGGGTTCGGCTTGGTTGGTTTGGTGTGGTAGGGTTTGCTTTGGTTTGGCTTCGGAGAGACGTTGGGAAGGTTTGGCTAGTTTTGGCGCGAAATTTAGGTATTGACAGAAGTGGCAACCTCAGGGCCTTGGTGGTGCATACTGGTTGGTGGCCGAACTCCAGCCGATACAAACGAACTCATGATGTGGGTTGTTCCGTCGACGAAATTATTATTGCACAAGTAACTTGCGAGAGCGACGATTTCCCGAGCTGGCTTGTCACAGTAAGTGTCATCGGCAAGGCAAGCCGTTTCCACGCAAATTGCAATACAGTATCGAGGCCATCGGTCTCTCCCGAGACCTGCCTCGTGCTCTTCCACTCACTCGCACTCTTCCACTCACTCGCGCTCTTCCACTCACTCGCGCTCTTCCACTCACTCTCGCGACCCGGGTTCTCCCTTTTCCACGAATACAACCTACTAGGGGTGCAGGCTTCAGATTGCACGAAGTTGGACTCAAGTCGAATCAACTGGAACCACGTGGCTGCCGTTTCGTTGTGTCACTCGCCGCACCCAGTCAGCGGTTGCTCGCGCGCCACGAGTTGACGTCTGTAGCCTCTTTAAAGTTGCGGGTGCGCCACGCGGCCCGTTCAGCGCGGCGGGTGTTTGTGCTATCCGCGATGGCGACGCGAGGGGTGACGGTGGTGTTCGGCGAGGAGCGGTTCAAAATGGGCCTGGAGGTGAGGCGATGCGGGGGGTGTGAGTGTGAGAAAGTAGGGACGGGGAGAAGAAGGTGGGACCATGCAGGTGGATTCGCCGCTACTTTTCCCAGCCCAAAATGTTTGGAGGCGTCTAAAACAGCAGTTCGCCACTGCTTTGTCTGACCCAGAAAGTTGAAGTTCCGTTGAAAGAGTGTGACGCAGAAACGGGGGACGGAGGGGCGGAAGAAGAAGGAACAGGGGAAGGAGGGGCGGAAGAAGAAGGAACGGGGGAAGGAGGGGCGGGGGAAGAAGGAACGGGGGAAGGAGGGGCGGGGGAAGAAGGAACGGGGGAAGGAGGGGGGGGGGAAGAAGGAACGGGGGAAGGAGGGGCGGGGGAAGTAGGGACGGGGGGAGTAGGGACGGGGGAAGTAGGGACGGCGGGAGCATGGATGGGGAAAGGGGGAATGGGGTAGCGAGGATGGGGATGAGCATGAAGGAGATGGAGAGCAAGCGCTTTGCTTACACCACAGGGAGGGACGGGTGAGTCGGTACAGGACAGAGTCGAGAGAGGGCTGGAGCTGTTGTATTTTGAGTGGTGGGATGAGAGACGGAAATAAGCTTTGGGGCGCGTCAGAAGTCGGCTGTAGTGAGGGGTATGTATATGATAGCTATACGGTGTACCTGTGAGGAAGGCAATCGCGTCGTGAGAGGCGGATATGACACTATTCTCCACCCCGCCTGTTCCCCTGCATGATGCATAGGCTAACTAGCTTGGCCTCACTCCCTCTGATGTTGAAGGCACCTCAAGAATCATCCCAGCCAGCTTATCCACACCCCACCGTTTCGGACTAACCCTCCACCTGTGCCTACCTAAGGGCTGTGCGAACCTAGTATCTTTCCTTGTCTCTTGCCAATCACGGCCTTTCCATCCTCCCCCCACCCCTCCAACTGCTTCCTCAAGACTGTGCCTCACCTGCTCAGGCCTGATGTGAATCGTGCCATCCACCCCCCTCCCCCCTCCATCCATCTATCAGCGTTCCTGCATGCTATTAATAGCACCCATGTGCCATGCGGTGATGTCAGGACGTTTTCCAGTGCATGCATGTTCGTGTGTTCACCGTGCGTCTAGACACCCACATGTCTTGCTCGGCACCTTGTGCACACCACCCGGCTACTGAGGTGCCTCGAAAGCTGTTTACTACCCACCGCGCTTGATATGCACATGCCTTACCTCACGTTGCTGCATCTTTTGATTTTTGAGGCGCCTCAAAAGGAGGTGATATTAGGCGCCTCAAAAGTATGTTTTTGATTTTAGGAGGTGATTTTTTATTTTTGTTTTCTAGTATGCGTCTGAATGTGCACATGCCTTGCCTCACGCTGCAAGGCCAGTACCAGCCGTCAAAGGGGGAGTTCCGTAACGCTGTGTTGAGGCAGCTGCTGTGATATTCTAAGTCGACTCAAAACACACTTGCTCTTCTGCTTCTGCCTGCCTCGTCCTCTCCCCATCCCAATAGCAGCAAGGCCAGTACCAGCTTCAGAGGGGGTATTCCGTGAAGCTGTGTCGAGGCAGTGTCTACCCTGTGCTGTGTCGAGGCAGTGTCTACCCTGTGCTGTGTCGAGGCAGTGTCTACCCTGTGCTGTGTTAACACTGTGTTGTCACCACCCTCGTGTCCCCTCGGCCCCCTCACCTCCCATTGCCCATCGCAGCAATGCCAGTACCAGCCATCAGAAGGGGAATTCCGTGACGCTGTGTTGAGGCAGCTGCTGGTTTGGTTCAAGTCCTGGTTCAGGTGATTGCAGTGCGGCTCAGCTGATTGAAGTGCCGGTGCAGATGTTTACTCTGTAGAAGTTTCACGTGACTCAGAGCAAAGCAATTCCGTGCAGCAAGCTTGGCAAGGACGCCCTTGTCATCCCCATCCATCCTCCCTCCCCCTCACCACCATCTTCTTCTTTTCCTATCCCCTCCTCACCAACCCGTCACCATAACCTTGAATTTCCGGTTCCTCGTCTTCCTGCTTCTTGCACATGGGTGGACTCCCCCGCATGCCCCCGCTGCCGCACCCCCACCTGTGCCTTCCATCCCTCATCCTATGATCACCCCTTGTATATCTTCCTTCGTCTGTCCTCTGTCCTTCCCTCTCCTTGTGCTCTCTCCCTCCCGCTCCCCCCCGCCTCTGCCTCCTCTTTCCACGCAGATGGGTGGACTCCCCTCCGTGCCCCCGCTGCCACACCCCCACCTGTGCCATCCCCTGACGACATGCTGTGGGGGGGACAGCGCGTGGAGCTGCACAGGTGAGGGGCGAGAGGGGAAGAGAGGGGAGGGAGGGGGGTGTGTGAGGCATAAGTTCGAGTGAGAGGAGTACCCTCACTGCTGCTCCCCCACATGTGTCTTCCATGGCAACGGCACTCCTTCCAATGATGACCTGCTGTGTGGGGGACAGCGGGCCGAGCTGCACAGGTGAAGGAAGAGGGGAGAGGGGGGTATGATGCATAGTGTTAGGAGTGTCTAAGCTGCCGCACCCCTACCCGCTGCCGCACCCCCATCTGTGCCTTCCACGGCAGTGGTGCGCCTTCAAACGAGGACTTGCTGTGGGGGGGACAGCGGATGGAGCTGAGGCGGGAGCGGGGAAGGGAGGGGAGGGAAGAGAGGGGAAGGCTGGGAGCGGAGGGGAGGGAGAGGGAGGGCGGGGTTCGGCACAGGAGGGTTAGAGGAGTACGGCGGGTTAGAGGAGTACGGCGGGTTAGAGGAGTACGGCGGGTTAGAGGAGTACGGCGGGTTAGAGGAGTACGGCGGGTTAGAGGAGTACGGCGGGTTAGAGGAGTACCCCCGCTGCCGCACTACCCCCACCTGTGCTTCCACGGCAATGGGTAGGCATTCACTAATGACCTGATGTGGGGGGGGGGGGCAAGCACGTGAGGGGAAGGGAAAGAGAAGGGAAGGGGGGAAAGGAAATGGGAGGGAAGGCGAGCAGAGGGGAGGGGAGAGAGAGGAGGGAGGGGAAGGGAGGGGAAGGGAGGGGAAGGGAGGAGTGGGATGGGATGAATTTGGCACACCCTCCTCCCTTGGTGGACTGACATACCTACCCCCTCCCTTTTTGCCTCTTCTGAGTCCGACTCCTCACCCTTCTCCTTCTCATTAGGCCTTCCCTCGCCCTTCTTCTCCCACTTTTCCCTCCATGTGGCTCTCTTGCTCTGGATGTGTGCGTGGTGGGGTGGGTGTAGCTCTCAGGTGCAAGCAGTGCACCACGGTGGCTCGCCTCGTGCGATACAACGACCCTGCCAAGGTACAGGCGCAGGCATACAGGCACGGTAGGAGGACTCAGGCACAGGCACGGGCACGGGCACAGGCACAGGCACGGGCACAGGCACAGGCACGGGCACAGGCACAGGCACGGGCACAGGCACAGGCAGGGGCACGGGCACGGGCACGGGCACGGGCACGGGCACGGGCACGGGCACGGGCACGGGCACGGGCACAGGCGCACAGGTGTTGGTGGACACAAGTAAGCAGGTGTGCGCCTTACCAGTCACCATCAGGTGACTTCTGAGTCGACTCAAAAGTCACCTCTGTGCCTCGCTCCGTGCAGTACATAAAATGACCCTGCCAGGGTAACCGGAAGGAGGCACAATGTCCTCACTGTCCGCTTCAAGAGGCTCGGAGGCTCTAGAGGCTCGGAGGTGGCGTTTCTCAATGAATTGGAATCTATCAATGGCAATGCTCGTCTCTGGCGGTGCTCTCACCACGGGTGCTTGGTTGCTTACACTAATCCAGTCCAGCCAAACAAATCTGCTCTCAATTGTCTTCCACACCCACCCATAACCACCTTCCACCCATAACCACCTTCCACCCATAACCACCTTCCACCCATAACCACCTTCCACCCATAACCACCTTCCACCCATAACCACCTTCCACCCATAACCACCTTCCACCCATAACCACCTTCCACCCATAACCACCTTCCACACATGCCACCTCGGTCTGACCTGTCACCTCCTCTGTCTGACCTGTCCATCTGAATCATCCTCTCTTCTCTGCATGCCGTTTTAAGCAGGGATTAGCCAACCCTGGGTCATCCCTTTCTCCTTCTCTTTTCCTCCTCTCCTTCCTTCCCCCCTTCCCCCCTCCTCCCGCCACACAGCTCGTGGAAACCAGGGAGGGCGGCTGTGGCGAGTGGGCCAATGCTTTCACCCTCTGCTGTGGGCAAGGCAGAGCTGTTGCACCCACATTTGCCCCTCTTTCTCCTCCCTCCCTCCCTCCCTCCATCATCCAGCTCCCGCACACCAGGGAGGGCCGTTGTGGCGAGTGGGCCAACGCCTTCACTCTCTGCTGCCGGGCTCTGGGCTATGATGCCAGGCAGGTGTGTGTGCTGTGATGTGACTATAGTGATGCCAGGCAGGTGTGTGTGATGTGATGTGACTATAGTGATGCCAGGCAGGTGTGTGTGATGTGATGTGACTATAGTGATGCCAGGCAGGTGTGTGTGATGTGATGTGACTATAGTGATGCCAGGCAGGTGTGTGTGATGTGATGTGACTATAGTGATGCCAGGCTGGTGTGTGCGATGTGACTATAGTGATGCCAGGCAGGTGTGTATGATGTGACTACAGTGATGCCAGGCAGGTGTGTGTGATGTGACTATAGTGATGCCAGGCAGGTGTGTGTGATGTGACTATAGTGATGCAAGTCAGGTGTGTGTGTGTGCGATGTTACTATAGTGATGCCAGGCAGCACCACCTGATGTGACTACAGTGATGCCAGTCAGGCAGGTGTAACTGTTTGAGGGAGTTAGTCTTGTGTGGTTGGTAGCTATCCGGTCAGGTCATTTGCACATATCTTGTAAGGTTCCGCTTGATTCGCGCCTTAGCAGGTGTGACACATACATGTAACGCAACATGAGTTGCACACTTGTGTGCTTGCACCAATTGCCGCTTCGATGCATGTGCTTGTGTGTGCACGTGCATGTTTGTGCATGTGCATGTGATGGCTACAGGCAGTGGATTGGACAGACCATGTGTGGACTGAGTGCTACTCGCATGCGAAGCAGAGGTGCGTGGAAAGGGCTTGGTCATGCCATCATATCAATGGCAGAGCAGTGGTGGGCAGGGGTGTGTGGGGATACGTGGTGGGAATGGCGGCAGTGGCAAGCAGTGGATTGGGCAGACCATGTGTGGACTGAGTGCTACTCGCATGCGAAGCAGAGGTGCGTGGAAAGGGCTTGGTCATGCCATCATATCAATGGCAGAGCAGTGGTGGGCAGGGGTGTGAGGGGATACGTGGTGGGAATGGCGGCAGTGGCAAGCAGTGGATTGGGCAGACCATGTGTGGACTGAGTGCTACTCGCATGCCAAGCAGAGGTGCATGCAATTTGATTCGTGATGAGGAATCAACGATAGGTTGAGCATCCTGTTGTGCTAAAATGTTGAGGGTGACCATGTTCAGCACACCAGAATGTTTGGGGGGCGGTGTGCTACTCTAGTGATGTGCTACTCTAGTGATGTGCTAAAACTTGAATTATAATACGGTACAGACAACAGCGAAATAAGGGGTTAAGAGTAACCAAGGTGAGTGAGATTACGATGACTGTACTCAAAGTAAAGGTAGTGGGATGGATTGGCTGTCCTTCCTGTGCTCAAAATCTCCTGCTATAGGACCGGGGTTGTTCTTCACCCCGCTCCTTTCCAGCAGGTGGATGCATCTGGACCGTGGGAAGCGGCCTTTTGCACGCCTCTGCTCTACGAGAAAAGTTGGGTGGAAAGTGGTTACATGGGGAGGTTTGGGTGGGGTGGAAATGGCATCCTGATGTGGGACGGATTTGTGGAGAGGTTTGCTGCTTTATATGAATTTCTGGGCAAGGCAAGAGTAATCACCATTTTTTGTATAACTGTGGTGCAATGCAATTGGGCGCAAGGCAAGAGTAATCACCATTTTTTTTATAACTGTGGTGCAATGCAACTGGGCGAAAGCGAGGTAGGGCGACTTCGTTCGCATATCCTTTCGTCAAATATAAAACGTCGCAGAAAATGGCCGGTGGATTCGCCACCCTTCGTCCTCTTGCCAGGGTCCGCCTCATCGTGGAAAACTGAATGTGAGCCTGGGTTCTTGTAGCGAGTGGTAACTTCCGTGGCTTGCATTGGTTCAGACTCCTGAACCAGAAGAAGAGTCTTCGAGGCTGACCTGGTTCCAGCCATAAAGCACCATGCGACTCATGCGTTACACAAAACGAGAACCGCAAATCACAGTGTATGAACACAGAACGCAAACGTGGTGGGCACAGCTCACGGTTTGGAGAGAAAATAACCGTTGGGAGGAAAACGAGGGCTTTGAACCTGACGTGAACCGAACACGCAACTTTCTGATCTGGAGTCAGACGCGCTACCATTGCGCCACAGATCCTTGGACCCAACGAAAATCCACGCACATACAACATGGTTTGACAGCTGTCGACATCCCTCCTCGTGGGTCTGACTGACTGGCTTTCAGCCACTGGTTGATCAAACCATGCCATGAAGGCAAAGAAGGGGTTGTTTGCACCCATTTGTCGTTTCGTTTCCAGTCTCAGTGCTGTCTGCAGGGACAGTTTGCTATGGATGCATGCAGCACTGCAATAGCACCTGCAATCGAATGCTGTGATTCTTTCTATCGTTTACTGTGCCTGGGCAAGCAGGTGGGGCAAGAAGAGCTGTCATACGTGTGACTGTTGAGTCGACTTTAAAGGCACCTTATTGCTGCATCCACCCTCTCTCCCTCTCTTGTCTTGCATTGTGCATGGCCGAGCAGGTGGGGCAAGAAGCTGACTTACGTGTTTGGAGTGGGGAGGTATGGGGTTGCTGACGTCATTCGAAGATACACACGAAAATGGGGTGAGGTAGGTCACTGTGAGAGCAACAGAAGCCTTAAGACCAACAACAGAGTTGTTTTAAGTGCAGAATATTGCTCACTTGTCTTCTACTACTGTCCTTCCTGCCACACCCCCTGCCTCCTGCTACCACCCACCCGACCACCCAAAACCCCTCCCCTCCCTTTCAAGCGCAGCCGCCCTTCCGTCTCCCCTCTTTCCCCCACAGTGCATCTTGCATCCTTCGTCTTCCCCACACCGCCCAGCACTCTCCCGTCGAATCAGCTCCAACACAGGCGAAGAGAATATCGAAGGCATCTGTAGCAGCTGTTGCAGCAGCAGTGGCAATGGTTTTGCACAAGTGACAAGGAGAGCTGTACAGCTGGTTGCAAGTGCATGCCATGCTCGCTCCCCAACCACTGATTGGTTGCACGAGCTGGAGCTATTTGCAACTGGAGACCATGGCTTGCTCTTCTCTTCTTTAACGACCATCCTTTCTTCTACCTCTCCACACCGCAACCTTTCTCTTGCCCCAACCGCCGAAACCCTCTCCCTCCCATTCAGCTCCAGCACAGGCGGACAGAAGCATCAGAGGCAGGAGTAACAGCAGCAGTGGCAGCGGCCTTTGCATTGCAGAGCATTGGTCGCTTCTTGTCTTCTTCAACCGGCCTTTTCCCCTTCCACTGTTCCCCCAACCGCCCAACCCTTACCCTCCAATCAGCTCCAGCACAGGCGGACAGAAGCATCAGAGGCAGGAGTAACAGCAGCAGTGGCAACGGCCTTTGCATTGCAGAACATTGGTCGCTTCTTGTCTTCAACCGGCCTTTTCCCCTTCCACTGTTCCCCCAACCGCCCAACCCTTACCCTCCAATCAGCTCCAGCACAGGCGGACAGAAGCATCAGAGGCAGGAGTAACAGCAGCAGTGGCAGCGGCCTTTGCATTGCAGAGCATTGGTCGCTTCTTGCCTTCAACCGGCCTTTTCCCCTTCCACTGTTTCCCCAGCCGCCCAACCCTTACCCTCCAATCAGCTCCAGCACAGGCGGACAGAAGCATCAGAGGCAGGAGTAACAGCAGCAGTGGCAGCGGCCTTTGCATTGCAGAGCATTGATCGCTTCTTGTCTTCAACCGGCCTTTTCCCCTTCCACTGTTCCCCCAACCGCCCAACTCTTACCCTCCAATCAGCTCCAGCATAGGCGGACAGAAGCATCAGAGGCAGCTGTAGCAGCGGCAATGGCGGCGGTGACAGCAAGGGCTCGAGCCAGCCTTCGTGGGGATGAGAGGAGGCGGTTGGAGGAGAGGGATGCTAGGGAGAGAGAGGAGCTATGCGGAGTGAGGGGAGGAGGGGAGGAGAAAAGAGGGGAAGGAGGGGAGAGGGATGGTGTGGTGTTGGGAGGGAGGCAGACTGGTTCTGTGGAGTGGAGAGCAGCGAGGGGGAAACTAGGGTTGGAGAGGAGGGGAGATGGGGGGAAAGAGGGAGGGAAAGGGGAGGCTGAGGGGGTTAAAGCGGGAGTGAAAGAGGGGAAGGATGGGAGGTTGGAGAGGAGGATGGAGGATGGGCATATGGGTGCACTGCTGCTGGGAATTGGGGACATGTGCTGCGATGTTATTGGCTCTCCAGGTCTCGAAACAGCATCAACCGCATCAGCAGCAGCGGCGCAAAATTCGTTAAATCCGTGTTTAGACGCTCTCCTCTCTCTGCTCTCTGTTCTGCGCTCACTCACCTTCCTCTCCCGCTCATTGCCACTCAACAACAAACAATGTGATCCCTTTCGCAAGTCACTCTTGGATGCAGCAGCGATGTCAACGTTCAGTGCGAGTGCAGCAACGAACGAGGCAGCAGCAAGCGTGGCAGCAGGAGAGTCCTGCTCTCCCTCCTGACTGCCATGGGGGTTCAGATCTGGAAAGAGGAGGGAGAGAACAAGGGGAGTGAGGGGACAGGGTGGGTGATGGGGGTGAAGGAGTGTGAAACTCGAAGAGAAGAGGGGACGTGTGAAAATGGGAAAGGGGGAGCAGCAGGGGTGGGAGGATGGAGGTACGGACAAAGGGCTGTGCTAGCAGCTATGGCATTACAAGCAGCACAGGAGGTGCTGCCACGTGTCAAGCAGGCATTGGAGCAGATTCGGGCGGGGAATGATGGGGATGGAGATGCGGCACGGCTGCAGGCATTGGTGCAGCATGCCAGGGAGTGTGGCGGCTGGGTGTCCGCTGATGGGGAGAGCGCTCCTAATGAGATGGTGAGAGGGGATTGCGTGGTTCAACAGTCGACTCAATGAATGCTCAACTGAATGCTCAACTGAATGCTCAACTGAATGCTCAACTGAATGCTCAACTGAATGCTCAACTGAATGCTCAACTGAATGCTCAACTGAATGCTCAACTGAATGCTCAACTGAATGCTCAACTGAATGAATGTTGTCAGTCTACACCATGACTGTATGGGATTGCTTGATGGGGAGAACGCTCCCAGTGAGATGGTGAAATGAGAGTGGAGGTGCGGCATGGCTGCAGGGATAGGTGCAGCATGCGAGGGTGTGTGGCGGCTGGATGTCTGCTGATGGGGAGAACGCACCCAGAGAGATGGTGAGGTGGGATGTGTGGGGTTCTGGATGGCAGGATTTTCTCTCTTTCACTGGGTGTTAGCTGAGGGGAGAGAATCTACCCAGTGAGATGGTGAGATGGGTGGTGTGGCTGTGGCTCAAGTTAATGAATGCTCTAGGTCTATACCGCTGTATGGGTGTTAGCTGATGGGGAGATCGCACTTATTGAGATGGTGAGATGGGATTGCTTTTATCCTTTTTTAGGATTCTCAAAAGTGAAGGTTAGATGGGTGGGTGTGGCTGTGGATGGAAGGGTTGACTGTGTTTCACTGGGTTGGGTCTCATGGCTCATCTTAGCGAGATGATGGTGAGACGGATGTGTGTGTGTGGCTGTGGTGTGTTTCAACTCAATGAATGCTCTCACTTTACATCTTTCCATGAGGGAGGGAAAGGTATGCTGTTATCAGCTGCCATGCCATATTGTGCCATGCTGTGACTTTACTTGCCATACCATGCCATGCCATGCCGTGACGTGCCATGCCACCCACGCCATCCAAAGCCATCCAAGCCATTCATGAGCTTCATTAATTGTGAATGCAATCTCAAGCTGAATCCACCTTGTGGCATCATACCAGACGTTCTTGGTCGGTTTGTGAACAATTCGCTGGAGCAGATAGCCTCTGCTCTCTCACGCACGGTTACGACGGCTCTTGTTAGTATGCATTTGTGCTTGCGGTGTATACTTTCAATAATATAAAAAAAACGGGGTTGCGGTGCTACAGCACCTGGCTCGGTTGCTGTTACAGTCACCATGTATTCGATCACATCGGCCAATGATTGCTGTTGAGATTCGCATGTGCTTTTGAGTGGTAGTGATGAGACCATTCGTTGCAATCAACATCTATATTTTTTTTAATTGACAAAAATGCATCACTTCATGGAATCACCATGTAATACACCGAACCTCGCTTTTCCTCTCAACATCCTGGCTCGCTTTGTTGCAACTGGGAGACACCATCCTATTCAGTGGTCGACAGATGTGAGGGTATCGAAGTACCTGACGACTACATCAGCACGTGGCTTGTACTTGGAGGGACACAACTAGTTGTGCTGACAGGTCACTGCGACTCTTCCTACGCTGACGACATAGAGACCGACATGTCTAATCAAAGGTACTATTCCAGCCTGGGTTCTGGTAGTGTGTCGTGGAGGTCTACTCGGCAGTCGTCTCTGGCGCAATCTTAACCCTAAGGCCGAGATATACGTCGGTGCCGTGGATGCGTAGGTGCTTCGCTGGTTGACCTTCTTGTTCACCGACCTTGGTGAGCGGCCTCGCTCTGCTCCGACCTTGCTCGCTGACAAAAAGGTCATGATCATCTTGTGTCGAGAGCTTCTACTGTAGTGCAGAGTGAAGCACATCGACATGAGACACTTTATGTAGTGAGAGCTCCTGCGACGCGGCCAGGCACGCTTGAACTTTGTGGCGTCGGCGGCCAACACTGCAGACATCTTCGCCAAGGCCCTTTCGCATGATGACCACCACCGGTTCTCTCTGCAACTAAGCCTTATTGAGGCAGGCCCTCAGTCGCTGTTGTCTTGCCTCTTGTTTCTTCACAGCTTGTTTTTTGTATTTGTATATATCTGTTGAATCTTGAACAGGCCTTGTAGCCTCGTGCTTGTGCTCAGCAGTGACTTTGTGATCCAACCTCAGCTTTGCGTTGTTGCTTCTCTTGACTGGTCCTATGACCATTGTGTTTCTTACTCTTTCTTGTTGTCCCTCAATCAGCCTATGGGGGTGTGTCATACTATGTATTTGTGTGTTGGGATATAGTGAGGCACACAATAGGGAGGATAACACTTTTCTTTATGTAACCAAGAATGGTAGTGGACAGGATGAGCTAGCCAAGTTGTGAGAAAGACAGTGAAGTCTTATGATGACGTTGTTAATAATAATTGACAGAGAACAACATGATTAAGATAGAGATACGAAGGGTTTAAACAGCAATCCTAGCTAGCCATGTACTTGTTAGAATATTGAAGGAATGAATGACTGAACTAGCAAGCAGGTGGGTACAAGTAGGAAACCTAAAAGTGTTGTACCCTATATGAACTACCCTACTACAGCCTAGATAGACTATAGCATATAAGTTTTAACAAACCCCCATAGGCAAAATGGGGGAGAACAAGAGGTCACAAGACCAGTCAAGAAAGGCAAAGCAAGATCAGGGTGGATCACAAAGTCACCACGCAGTCTGAGCACAAGCAAATGGCCACAAGGCCAGTTCACATGCAGAGTTATATAAAGGAAAACAAGCAATACAGTGAACTCAACCTAGCAAGTGTAAGCATGCAGGTATATGTATATAGAGTACAGTACAAGCAGAGTCAAGAAGTAAGCAAGTGAGGCACAGTAGGTACAAGGCCTAGAACAGTACAGAAACGCTGATGATCACAAGGCTGAAGTGCCTTGGTGAAAACATCAACAGTGCTGGCCTGTGAGGCCATGTAAGCGAGACGAAGCTGGCCACGCTGCTGCAACTCTCGAGCAAGGAAGTAGCGCAGAGCAATGTGCTTCGTTCTGTGCTCCAGTCTGTGCTCCTGACACAAGGCAAGCATGGCCTTGTTGTCGACGTACAGAACTGGAGGAGAACGAGGCGCCTCTCCCAAGTCGGTCAGCAGGTAGGTGAGCCAGCGTAACTCCTGTGCAGCCATGGCCCCAGCGTAGATCTCAGCCTCACAACTGGAGCTGAGAACCGAAGACGAGCGGGTAGACTGCCAAGAGACAGAACCGGAGCCAATGCTGAAGGTGTAACCCTGTGACGACCGCTGCGTAGCCAAGTCGTCAACCCAAGAAGCGTCTGCGTGACCACTGAGGACAACTCGAGCCCGTCCTCCAAGCACGAGCCCCATGCCCGACGTACTGCACAAGTAGCGCAACACCCTCTTTGCAGCATCCCAGTGCACCTTTCGGTGCCTACCGGGAGCCACGTAGCGAGCCAGAAGGCTGAGTGGGTATGCGAGGTCAGGTCGTGTGCAAGTCATCAGGTACATGAGGCAGCCCACAAGCTCTGGATACGGGCCACTCGGCTCTACGGACTCGTCCGAAGGTGGAGCTGAGAGCGAGTGACCGGTAGGCAGAGGAGTGGACTGTGGCGAGGAGTACGTGAAGCCGAAGCGCTGAAGGACCTGCTGCACCATGTGTGACTGAGTCAAGGTAATGGTGCGCTGTGCTCTGTCCCGGGTGATCCGCAAGCCAAGATAGCTTGTCAGCTCACCCAGGTCTAAGCACGTGTGTCTCTTCTGCAGCTCAGACTTCACGTGGGCGAGTGCCTCAGTGTCAGCAATAGCAAAGGCCAAGTCGTCTACGTACACGAGAACGTAGAACGACGGCAGAGTGGTGTCAGTGCGTAAAAACAGCGACGGGTCAGCAGTGGAAGGAGCAAAACCAAGAGCAGCAAGAGTCGTCCTCAGTGTGTCGTGCCACTCACGGGGTGCCTGGCGGAGACCGTAGGCTGGCCGCCGGAGGCTCCACTGGGTACCAGCAGGAAACGACCCAGTGAAGCCAGGTGGGCGGCGCAGCAAGATCTCCTCGTGCAGGCTGCCCTGTAGGAAGGCTGTGCTGAAGTCAAGCGAGTGGAGCTCGTAGTCACGGTGAGCGGCGATGTGCAGTAGTACCCGAAGAGTGGTCATCTTCGGGGTAGTGGAGAAGGTCTGGAAGAAGTCAACTCCCTGTCGCTGTCTGAAGCCACGTGCAACGTAACGCGCCTTGAAGACAGGCGGAGAACCCGGCGGCCGCTTCACCCTGAAGATCCACATGCCACTGACGATGTTCGCCCCAGGCGGGGGAACCTCGTCGACGTAGGTGCCTGTGGACTTCCAGGAAGCCATCTCGGCGTCCATGGCTGCCTGCCACTGAGAGGAGTAGGGACCCTCTATCGCCTCTGCGTAAGAGCGCGGGGTCGGGATGTCTGGTGCATCCGGGTCTCCCTCAGGGGCAAGCAGCATGGACACGAGATGAGGTACAGCAGTGGCAAAGCACTCAAACTCCTCCTGTCTGTCCTCAAGAACGTCCGTGCCAAGAGCACACTCACCCCCGACGGACGGAGGACAGACAGACGCAGACGCAGACTCAGCAACAAGACTAGTGGCAAATTCTAGGCGACAGGCAGCAGCAAAGTCAACAAGCTCAGCAACGAGAGCAGACGCAGCAGTGGACTCAAACAAAGGGTCAGTGACAGCAGTGGCCAGAAAGCGCGTGACAGTAGGACTAGTAGCACGAAGGGAGTCAGACTCCGGGTCCGGACCGTCAGGAAGAAAGGACGTAGGAGGAGACGGCAGAGGGACACGCTGTGGAGCAGTGGAAGGACGTAGAGTTATAGAGTGAGTGCCAGGGACAGGAGGAGAACGCGGACGCGAAACACGACGACCAGCGCGAACAGTGCGAACAAGCGACTCAGAACGAGACTCAGGTGCCGTAGGACGAGACTCAGGTGACACAGAACGCGACTCAGGCTCACGATGCTCCATAAGACCTCTAGTCGGTCCAGAGTAAGGAGAAGGACCAGGCAGGGGAGAGGCCGGCTGTAACTGCGACTGTGACTGGACAGGCGGTGGACTCATTAAAGGAGGAGTAGGAACAGGAGAAGGCTGTAGACCAAGAACCTGCTGAAGGAGCGGAACGTAGTACGGCCGCGGCCGCGCAGCGTCTCCAGAAACAGCAGAGACAGCACCAGTAC